TTCTTTTCAAGACCGTTGTATAGTAAATGAATAGCTCAATTCAATTATTGTGCACATTATTACCTTAACAATAGATAATGCAGTGAGGTGCGAAAAGAGGTGCAAAAGGAAATCAAAAGGCTAATACAGAATTTTTTTTATTTGAGATCAAATGAACTCAAAAACCCAAATTTTAGGCCTAGCATATGATAACTATATGAAGCTATCTGAAGCTTCTGTTTGACTTGAATTAACTGCAATTGCTTAAACAAAAAAAACTATAAACTTTTAATATAGTGCGATTGCAGTTAATAGAAATGTTTGATTGATGAGAAGAATATCACTGAAATATATACTTTACGGGTTTGAGAACTGCTATTTCAGGATTTTTTGATGCACGAGAAATCTTTTTCACCGTCTCAACAACAAGTACGTCTATTAATAACTTTGGATGAACATTACTCACAGTACTTAGTATTCAAAGCTCCATCTTTCCACTCAAGAACTCGGTTCTTTCTAAGTGGTACTTGAAGTAAATTGTCTTTGCACCACTTAAAACATGGCGGGTATCCCATGCCGATACAAGTACCATTCGGGCGTACTGAATATCCTTGTTGAAATAATATGCAATTTCTAAAAAAAAAGTGAAGGGTCTTTGGTTTCTTTCAACCCCTCTGCAGAATTCATTTCATCGGTTCTCTTTTCCACATTTGCTGGTTTCTTAATTATTTCTCAAATTCTGATCCTTCAAAAAACCCTCTCGCTGCCAATTTTTTCTCTCAACCTTCTCCGTTTTATCTCTTCTAGGGATTATCTTCGGAACTTTTTTGGTTTTCTTTCTTTTACTTAATTTTAAGTGATTATGGGGTTTCTCTGAAGTATCCTTTTCACAGATATTGCAGTATATAGAATCGTTTCCCCTGTCTAATACCTCATTTTCCTCAATGACATTTTCCTCTTCATGCGTATAATGTTCATAGTTTACTTCTTCCTCCTCAGTATTATTATGATTATCGTAGACACGGCCAAACTTTTGAGAAAAAGCAAGTTTTGGCTTTATGGTGCGCATGCTCGAGATGGTATGGTGCGCATGCTCGACATGTAGACGTAAGTTTTTATTGAGAGCAAAGTGAAGTCCAAAAACCTCGAATTTAATTAATTTCAGATCTTGAAAAATGCATTGCTGACATTCAAAGATGTTTTAAAGTGTGTTGAAGTGTGTTTTAACCAAAAAAATGCAATAGAAGCGAGGAACGAGAAGGTAAACAAATTTTGTAAACATATCTGTTTGTGAACACTAGTGAGCGATACTCATACGTTCCACTGTTACATTGTGAAATATGGCTAGTCAATTGACCCAGTCTAAAAAGAGAGCGCTCGATGATATGGACACTAACACCATTAACACCAGTACTAGTGATGAAGAAATTTCAAAGGAATGTGAAAATTTTCAGATGAGAGATGTCATGCACGGTATAACTAATATACAAAATACTCTTGCAAACCTTCTACTAAGGATTGATGGACAAGGTCGCCATCTAGACGAAGTTACCAAGGACATTAGAGGAAAACATGGCATTCAGGAGAGATTAGAAAACGTACAAGAACAGGCGAACGATACGATATATATAACCACTGAACTGCAGGAAAAACAGAAGAAGATGGAAAGAGAACTTAGCCGAATGAAAGATTACATAGTTCGACTGGAGTATTGTGTAAAGACTCAAAGTGAACAGATTCTAGAGCTAAGATCTAGAGCAATTGAAGACAATATCATTGTGAGTGGAGTAGACGAAAAGGCGCCCGAAATAAAAAATCCTGAAAACCTTGTGAAGATCATAAGTAACGTGTTTGCAGTGGAGATGGAGATACCGGCAGAGACTGTTGATAGCCTACAGATATATAAAGTGTTCCGAATGGGGGAATACGACAAACATAGGAAATATCCTCGGCCAGTCTGTGTCCAGTTTGTAAATAAATCACACAAGGACATTGTGATGAGACACATTAAAGTTCTCAAGGATAAGAAGTCCCCAATAAGAGTGTCTCAACACCAACCTGAAGAAGTCCGTGAAAAAAGGAAGCATTTATATGATGTCCAAAAGAAATATGCGGACCGTAACATAGAAACGGTGATAAAAGGTCAGAAGCTCATCTTCACGCAGAGCAAGACGGTGTACAGGGAAAAAATTGGTAGCAGACCAATGGCCGATGAGATCATCAGTGGAGAAGAGGTAAAGATCGCGATCAGTACGGGGAAGACAACAGAAGACAATGGAAACCGGTTTGCTGCCCACGCAACGCCAGTAGATTCCTATAAACAGGTGAGACGATCGCTTGTGGAAGTTATGCGGACAGATAACACTACCAGTGCAAATCATAACATTTATGCGTTTCGGTTCACCAGTAACGACGGCACGATACACGAGGGATCGGAAGATGACGGCGAGCACGGAGCCGGGAGAATGCTACTAAAGACACTGGCTGATAATGACATAAATAACGCACTAGTGGTCGTTTCGCGGTGGTGTGGTAGTAAGATCGGTCCTAGACGCTTCACGCATATCACAGAGGTTGGGATGAGTGCAGCGAGAAATATGCCGGTTCCCGTCTGACGCTTCAAAATGTAAATTATGAAAAGTCACTAGCTAAAAATACAAACTTACAGTAAATCACTTTTTCAATTAGTTAGTATTTGTGTACTTTCATCGAATTTGACTATTACGGTAATTCTGCATAAACTAAAATATTTATTCTAGTGGTTTAGTGGTTTTCGATATGACTATATTCATGCTGCACATGATATGTGGATAAATTATAAATTATGTTTAGGTTTTGATACTTTCCGGAATTTGCAAGTGTATACGTCACTATTTTTGTGTTTTTTCAAAGACTCAATTTCCGGTATAGATATCGTACAGCATGGATCGTGTAAACTTGTAAGTTTTTGATCTATTTCTATTCTATCACTCAACTCAGAGAGGAGTCTGTGTGCATAATTTCAATTTTAATACAGTGCAAAATGCGACATTTTGATATGGATAAATTTTTGTTGTAATTACATTTCAGATATATTTCTTTAATAGAAAAAAAATAAACATGGTAACTACAACAAATTGTAATTAGAAAAAAAGAACTGAATAGGAAAGAAATTGAGTATATAGAGTTCCTCTCAACTGAAATTAATTTTTCTATATTTTTAACATTTTCATTTCAAATATAAACTTAAAGTTAGGTTTTTTGGGTCTACTTTGCACATTTTCAAAATGACAGCAGGTGTGTCTGAGCTTAAACAGGTCCGGCACAATCTCTTGATTAAGCTATATAGCTTGATTTAGCTATATAGCTTTATTAAGCTATTCAGAATAGCTTGATTAAGCTATTTTCTCAGACTTTTTTCTCAAATGCTTTATTTTTTCAACATGTGCAAAAAGTCGCACCTTGGTGCAGTGTATATATTAAACTTTGTACTCTTTTAAATACAATGCATGTAAAAATTACTCACCAAATTGCGTCTCCTTGAGAGACTTTGTACTCAAAGTTTTAAAAGTTTTGGGGCTATTGATTTTGACCACACAGTTATTTCAAAATGAAATTATAAAGGAGGCCAGTTATGGCCAACAGGATAATTGATTTGCCTCACCGCACACACAGTTTTAGAAATTCATATTTTGCTTAAAAGTATTCAACAGCAGCAATGTTAGAACTTTCTATGATTTAGGTTGTATTTTTTATAGTCTATAGTACATATATGAATAGTCAAATAACTATTTCTTTCAAAAAACGTTTTTGTGTGCATATTAATAGCTTTATCAAGCTATTTTGAATAGCTTTATAAAGCTATATAGCTTTTTAAAGCTATATAGCTTAATCAAGAGATTGTGCTGGACCTGTTAAAAACTACTTTTCTGTAGTGTATATAGATTTTTACTTTTTTTATCAACTCTTTTTTTCTTGCTGTTGGGGAACAGTAAACTTTTTTATGCATTTGCTGTGGAATGGATGACTATCCATGTGAAAATTTCCTAAAAATACTTACATTAAATTGCCAAGGTTTAGGGGACATGAATAAAAGGAGGGATGTCTTTAAAATTTTAAAAGAAAAAAAATTAAACGTTTATTTCCTTCAAGACACACACTTTGTCACAAAAGATGAAAGCATGATAAAAGCATTATGGGGATATAAGGCTTTTTTTAGTTCATACAAATCAAACTCACGGGGAGTTGCTACACTTATCAATAATAACTGTGACTTGACATTGATTAATGAATATAAAGATGAAAATGGCAATTATCTTATTCTAGATGTAGTAATAGACAATCTTCCTTTTTTGTTAGTGAATATATATGGACCAAATCAGGATACACCAGCCTTCTATACAAAGATTCTAAATATGATACAAGAATATTACTCATCACAATATATGATTATAGGTGGTGATTTTAATTTAATTTTAGATAAGGAATTGGATTCAATGAACTATAAAAACCTAAATAACCCTAAATCAAGAATGGAAGTATTAAAGATGATAGAGATACTAAATTTAAAAGATATTTTTCGTGAAAACAATCCAAATTTAAAAAGATTCACTTGGAGAAAGAAAAATCCAATAAAACAGGCAAGACTTGATTATTTCCTAATATCAGAATCGTTACTAAATTTGGCCCCTTATGTAAAATTTGAAAATAGTTATCGTTCAGATCACTGTCCAGTTGTAATGGGTGTTAAAACAAATGAATTTTTGAAAGGAAGAGGGTTTTGGAAATTAAATAACTCTTTATTAGCAGATAAAGAATATGTAAATTTGATAAAAGAAAAAATTAAAAATATTAAATTACAATACGCCTGTCCTATCTACAATTTTAATAACATTGACTCTATTGAAAATGATAAAATTCAATTTATGCTAAGTGATCAATTATTTCTAGATACATTATTGATGGAAATAAGAGGAAAATCAATTTCTTATTCAACTTTTAAGAAAAAGAAAATAACTGAAAAAGAATTGCAACTAGAAAAAGAAATCTTTATACTGGAACAGAATTTGTCGCAAGAACATGCTGAAGAATTAGGAAACAAACATGAAGAATTAGAGAATATTAGAAAAATAAAATTTAAAGGCCAATGTATTAGAGCAAAAGTGAAATGGATAGAAGAGGGAGAAAAACCTTCAAAATATTTTACCAGCCTTGAGTCTAGAAACTATCAGAGTAAAGTTATACCTAAAATTGAAAAGGAAGATGGAACTATAATTACTGACCAATTTGATATTTTGAATGAAGTTAAGCTGTTCTATGAAAATCTGTATAAAAGTAAAGAGAATGTAGAATCAGGAAATATCCATGAAAAATTAAAGATATATGATGTGCCGAAATTAAACAAAAAAGAATCAGAAAGTCTCGAAGGCCCTTTGACTAATTCTGAAGTTTTGAATTATTTGAAAATTATGAAAAATGAGAAAAGCCCTGGACCAGATGGGTTCACTTGTGAATTTTTCAAATTTTTTTGGCAGGATTTAGGTGCTTTCATTACAAGAGCAATAAACAACTCGTATGAATTATCACACTTTACTGAACCAAATAAATTAGGTTTAATAACTTGCCTACCAAAACCAGGAAAACAAAAACAATTCTTAAAGAACTGGCGCCCAATCAGTTTATTGAATGTGATTTATAAAATAGCCTCAGGCTGTATTGCTGAACGATTAAAAACTGTGTTGAATAAATTAATAAATAAGGACCAAACTGGCTTTTTGAAGGGAAGATTCATAGGTGAAAATATTAGACTAGTTTATGATTTAATGAATTACACAGAACAAAAACAGATTCCAGGCTTATTAATGTTAATTGACTTTGAAAAAGCTTTTGATACTATATCATGGAAGTTTATATACCAAACATTAGATTTTTTTAATTTTGGGGAATCCATTAAAAATTGGATACAAACATTTTATAATGGAATCAAATCATGTGTTATACAGAATGGAATTTCCTCTGATTACTTGTTCCCACAAAGGGGATGCAGACAGGGGGACCCAATTTCACCATATCTCTTTCTACTATGTGCTGAAGTTCTTGGGATTCTCATTCGAAATAATAAAGACATAAAAGGAATTGTAATTGATGGGGAGGAATATAAACTTTCACAATATGCCGATGATACTTCAATTATATCTGATGGATCACCACAGTCTATGGATGGTATATTAAGAGAGCTTGATTATTTTGCAATTGTATCTGGACTGAAAATTAATTTTACAAAAACAAAAATGGTGTGGATCGGTAGTAAAAAATTCTCTAAAGAAGTCTTTCATCACTCGAGATGGAAGTTAGACTGGAATAATTCTACTTTTGATCTTCTTGGTGTAAAGTTTTCTATTAATTTAGATGAAATGATTGAACTGAATTACCCCCCAAAATTAAATGAAATAAAGCGATTGATAAAACAATGGCAATTAAGAAAACTGACTCCCATTGGTAGATTAACAGTGATTAAATCCCTGATTATACCAAAGATGAACCATTTGATATTGACTATTCCAAACCCCAATAAGGAATTACTCGATGAATTTGAGAAAGACCTTTATTACTTTTTATGGGGAAGTAAAGTACATAAGGTTAAGAAGAGTGTTATAATTCAAGACTATAAAAATGGGGGGTTGAAAATGATTGATTATATGGATTTCTTATGTGCATTAAAATCAACATGGATTCGAAGACTAATCTACTCAGACACGAAATGGTTAAAACTTTTTGAATCAGAATTAGGAATGAAAATTGAATCTCTTTGGGTAAGAGGTTTAGATTTTATAGTTAAGATGTGTAATAAAATAAGCAACAAATTTTGGAAAGAGGTTTTACTTAATTGGGTAAAAATCATTGACTGCAGTGGTAGTCAAAAAACAAGTAATACTCAAATTCTTCATGAACATATATGGTTTAATCCAAGAATTAAAATAAATAATTCCTCTGTATTTTTGAAAAGTTATTTTGATGCAGGCTTTGTTTTCATAAGAGATTTGTTTGACGTTGAAGGAAAATTTATAAGCCTCGAGTATCTCAATAATCTGAATGTACAAACTAATTTTGTAGAATATACCGGTTTAAAAATAGCCGTTACAAAGATATTGAAAAGTATTGATATTGAAAAAAGAGAAGAAAGTGGACCTTTTATCCCAAATTCAATTTACATTTTTTATAAAAGCACAAATGGTTGTAAAGATATGTACAATATACTCATCAAGAAGAAAAAGCAAACAATTAAAGCATTAGAAAAATGGGAAAATAATGGAATATCTTTTGGTGAGTTAGAATGGAACAAAATATTTGAACTACCATTTAAAGTTACAAAAGAGGCAAAATTTCAGTGGATGCAATTTCAAATCCTGCACAGGATTATTGCAACAAATAAATACCTTTATAAACTTAAACTAATTGATTCACCTGTTTGCTCATTTTGTAAACAAGAAGTTGAAACAATTGAACATTTATTTTTTGAATGTTTCTGTGTAAAAAGAATATGGTGTCATATAGAGGAGTGGTTTATAAAAAACTTCCATTTTACTATTAATTTTGATAGAAAAGATATACTGTTTGGAAAATACAACAATAAAAACATGTATAGATTACACAATATAATAATACTTACTATTAAACAATTCATTTTTGCCAGTAGGTTTAAAAATATGCCTAAATTAAGTATAGTAATGCTAGAAAAAATAATTGTAGATAGAATACTGGTTGAAAAGGCTATCCTTTTAAGAAATTGTAAATTTTCAGAATATGAAAAGAACTGGAAAATTATTTGTGATATGCTATAATGTTATTCAAATTTATACTCAAATGTACCAATATGGTAAAATAGTGAAAACTGTTCCCCCACCTCACTTTGTTTTCCTTCCTCACCCCTCCCCTTTGTTTACTTTTTTGTATATAAAGCTTTCACAATGAAGATTTATAATATACATGAATGTCATATATCTTATGCAGCTTTATGAAATGAATTTGTATTTAGCATTTACCAAAGAGAATTTGTATAAAGTATATAATATAAATTATATGGAAGAAAAATTATATAGTATATGTATGTATTGAATGTAAACAAATCTATTGTACATAGTCTGTAAATGTGAAAGCAAAAAATAAATTCTATGAATTAAAAAAAAAAAAAAAAGTTTTGGCTTTATTCTTAGATAATCAATCAATTCATTAACTGGAAATATGATACACTGTGTACCAAATGGTAATCTTTTTGGTTTTTCGTCATCATCTATACAAAGGGACAACCAAATACCTTTCAGTTGTTCATTCTTTGACAATAAACTTCTTTTTGGATAATAAACAGCAGCAGCTTCCATAATCATCGTTTTCTTGTAAATCTCCCTTTCCTTCTTCTTAGTGTTTCTCAAGAAATATTTGACGTATGATCTTCTTTCGTTTTGTTTGTCAATCAAACACAAGAGATCTGACCAAGCTTGTTTTAAAGTATTCTTGGTAACACAGGGAGTTTCAAATGAATTTGTAGCCATTTTCGTTTCCAGTGGATATCATGAAGCTTAAACTGGTTATTTATTTTCACTTCAAAATGGCGCTGCGTCAAAATTAGCTACCAGTCAGTTGACTTTCTGGGTAATTTTTAATCTCAGCGAGATGTCGTAGGGACTAAAATATTTGGTCGGACGTCCACTACGACATCTCAGTCCACTTCCACACAACTTGATTAGGGATTTTTTGCTCAGATTTCGACCGGTTGTTTCAATCAATACGGGCTGAAATGAATTATCTGCTCGCTTCAGCTTTTTCCTTTGAACATCCCTTTAAGTCTCTATCACGATAAAACTTTCCTTTCTTACCTTTAAAATGTTTAAATCCAACAAAATATAAAGTTGTTTATTTTTCCTCTGTAATGTCCAATTCATTTAAACCTCCGATGTTGAAGAGTTCCACAATAGTCTGCTTTGAATTATTCGTTCTACTACTATTTCCTATAGGGAGTGGACGTCCGACCAAATATTTTACACCCCTTCTAATGTTATTGTGATTTAATTTCAAGACACGTGGTTTAGGTTTACCTATTCAAAGGTTATAGGGTAGAACCGATTTTATAAATAAAATTGGTAGTAAACAGGAAATTGCTATAGTCTGTTTCTTCTGAAAACATGTCCTGTGAAAAATGTGTTTCCACACCTTTCTGAAAGACTTTCATGATTTTCAGCAGATATGGGAGGCATAAGAGGGGGGGCTGTTAAATAACAATTAATACATCTTATCTTAGTTTACTGCAAAAATTACTCACTAGCGACCGACACGCTGGTAAAAAAGATGTGTAATATCATCTACACTGTCAAACCTTTTTTGCCTTATATGGATATTGCTATTAATGCGCACAGAGGATATTACCACGAGCAATTGACCAATTGTTGATTGAATACGTTTACGCCAAATACATGTTTACATGTTACTTCGAACACGTGGTTCAGTCAATCTATGATCATGTCAATGGAGTGCAAAAAAATTTTCTTATGAACAAAATGCAAACATTAGAAAATGTGAAAAATATCACGGGCGTTTTAAATTTGTTGTTTACTAGAGAAAAATATGTTTAATCAAATGTATACGTAGTTAGTTTCAAGTTCAGAACACCAGCACTTCAAGGGTAAGGAAAACGAGCAGCTTCTTGTATGCATTTAAATGGACAAAACATATTACTATACTCGTGATCACGTGTGTTGGCCAGGGAATCCACCTGACAGTTGTATTCACCGATATACTAATAGTACAATAAAGGAATTTATCAAGCGTAAAATTCCTGTAGTAATCGTATAGTAACCCATAATGCAATTCTCATTCATCTGATTTGTCAAGTCACATTGGTGCCTCATTTGCTAAGCTGACGCCAAAAAATATAGTCCCGGTTCCCATGCAAAATATTTGTCAAAAAAGAGAAATTTTAATTCATGACAGCAGAAAATTGTATCATAGAGAATACTAATAATTTAAACTTGAATGAATTCAAGAAAGATCGATTGAAGTTTATTTCTACAGAATGGTATCATAGGATTGTGAAAACTAAAACGCAACATAACTTTTCTGTTTACCATGTCTCCACGTGCTAGTCACTTCCTAGCCACATTTCCGTGAATAATTTACCCTATCTCGCCGAAGTCTCGCTAACTCTCGCTGGAGCCACTGTCAGAGCTACTCTGAACTCATCGGGTTTTATAATTTGCAGAACACCGAAAAATAAAAGGTTCCGAACACATTAGTAGGGGTGTTTTAGTCCCTACGACATCTCGCTGAGATTAGGTAATTTTGTTAACCCGCCGTTAAACAGCAAACTTTGGTACATTTAAGAACGCCGTTGCTCAATAGCCTTTGATCAGTGTTGTGCTGTGATGTATTGAAAATTTTTCCCAAAGAAAATGAAACTACAACAACAATCAATCAACATCATTTACAGTACCTCAGGGAACATTTAATGACCATGCCAGAAAATAAACTCTACCATATTTTTATCTTACTGGAAGCTAAAGTTGATGATATTGTGTACCAATTATAAAATTATTAAATTACGGAGGGTTTTGTTGTGCCTTTTTATTTGGAAGGAAGAGGATTGTATGATAAAACCAGTAAGATTCCAAGTTTGAAGTAAAAGGACGGTGGAAAAAACAAACAAAAAACTAAAATAATTAAACATTTTCATGTTCTTTCTTTACAATAATTTTCAACAACCACAAAAGAAAAATAAATGACATCAAACGCATTATCAAAAGTATATAAGAATAAAATCAAAGATATTTTTCATAATAAACATAGAATAGATAGATGCAAAACGAACTATTATTTCTGAAGAATGAATGTTCGATTCATGAAAACACGACGAACCATTATGTATAGAAATCGTTATAAGTGCACAAAAAACGGTGCTTTTTGCCCAAATGAATGAAGTTAAATCAACGTAAACATCCCCTAACCAATGTTTTGCGCTCAGCTGTTTGCTCAGTTCAATATTTCGCCCGGTGTACATCGTACAGTTTGCGGATTAAAATTGGTGACGTCTTATCATTTGGCAATATTCATTCTTATGGTGAATGTGATATATTCCATTAACTAGAAATAAAGGCAGCATGTTTGACAATAATGTTTTCCCCCAATAGATTACATGCGTTTCCTAAACTGAGGAACTACAGACAAAAAAGTTGAATATATAATTTTCCCCCAATGGATAAGATGCGCAGAGCACGTTTCCTAAACTGAGAAACTGCGGATAAATAAGCTGAAGTTAAAACTACTGAGTATTCTGGCTGTTCGTACATGAAGATTCGGGGTGTAAAGTTTATGTTCTATCCGTCCGTCTCTCTTTTGAGGTGCTGATGCTAAGACCTATAGTTCTACCCTTTAAACTTGACCTTGAAGTTTGGGCTACTTTTTAAAAACTTCAACCTTGACCAAAATTTTTGAATGGTTAGTACTAGGGCTTTTATATTTCACATGTGTATTCCTTGAGCCATGATCATCCCTTAGGTACCAACAATTTTGACCATTTGACTTCGGAACTGGGTCTTTTGTTGAAAAAAAATTTCATGGTTTTGTGCTAGAATATTCAATTTTCATAGTTGTTTTTCTTGTGACAAGATTTTTTAAAGTACAATTATTTTTTATCTTTTGACCTTAAGGAAGTTAAGCATAGAGTTTGACTTGCATTTGAGAAACTTTAACCTTTGTCCTGAGATGTCATTGGGGGAAGGGGGGCATCAGTTTCAAAAAACACACCTTGTTCTTCAACAAAAATCGGCTTATCTTTTAATAACAAATTGTCATTTAATAATTTTGTTTACCTGTTCAAGACAACGGAATTATGGTGGGACTGACTAGACGATAAAGAATTGATAGAAAAAACAGATACACAAATTGTTTTTGTTGTTCATTTATTGTATTGTTAATTCAAAACAAAAAAAAACATTTTCTGGTGTCCTGCATGATAAATAACCAGACAAAGACAAAGAAGTCTTTGATCAGCAAAATACATTATATTATACAGAAGTACATACACTAGTGTTTGCTTTTTAAATAAAAAAGTCTTGTTTTTATCAATTATAAATTGCCAGGAAATTCAGATCTCATGCTTTCATCAGGATATTTTTTTTTTTAAAAAGCTTACATTGAAATTATTTATAAAACTGAGGCCTGAAAGCAATTGAGATTATACTATAGTAATACAGATATTTAAAAGTAAGTATAAGAAATACTGTACATGTATGATTATTAGAGCATTGATGGAAAAGTTAATAAGAAAGAAAACGATAATTCTTGCATTTCTACACCATGTAATCATGCTGTTTTTCACCTTGTTAATATCAGAGTATTAGATATTTCCATCCACATGATGTCAATTAAGTATATTGTTAAGGAAAACAGAAATAGAAATTTGATCATAAGCAATCGTCATTCACATTACATACATATACATTCCCAAAACATTAAAGCAAGTAAAAAAAATTAAACAAAACACAAACAGAGTAGAAGGATTCTTACTGTAGTATCAATAAATGGTAAAATTAAATATGAACCAAAACAGCTGTTTGAAGAACTCTACTGCAATGTTTAGCAATGATTCTTTATTTTACACCAAATTATGTGTCATGCAATAATTTTTTCGGTAGTCACTTGGCATCAAATCATTTCTCATGATATATTCATGACATGAAAATTGTAAGCCTTACAATTATTTCAGACTAGTGTCACAGAAAACATGACAATAATACTTTTATTTCATAATTATAAACAAATAGATTCACAACTTCAAAACATTAAATTTAAGTGCCATCAAATGATGTGGTGGGTAACTTTCAGATCTTTTGTTGAGACAGCCATGGGAACATGGCCAGCATCACCGTGCTTTCTTTGACTGAGAGTCTGGGATCTGTTGAGACAGTGGGGTTAATCCCAATAGAAGAATGTGCCTCTGATAAGCCTTACTGTTGCGGAAAGCTGTGTCTGTCCCATGGAGACGATCCAAGATTCCAAGAACTCCAAAATTGTTAATAAACCTAATAATCAATATAAAATCAGTACCCAACATGCATTATCTACACATCTGTAGTTATTTGGTTTCTGATATTTTACTCTTATCTTGCTGTCTTTCATTCCTTTGTTTACTTGCAATGTTAGTTTTAAAAAAATACTTCTGTCAAAGAAAATACACAGGCCAAAACATTCAAGTAAAATATTTGGGGGAGGGGTGTGAAATATCTGTATTACCTATAAAAGAAGACAATATGTATATATTACATAAGACATTGCATAAATCAAACATTGATGTGTTATGAGTATATCAGAACCTTTAGAAACTGATACTCAAAGGCCACATAGAGTTGTGTGATACTATTGAAAGGTAAATGATTAAATGAAATAGCAAGACAAGAAGTACAATATGTGTGTAATTATGTTCCCCAAACGGAGTTTGGGAACATATTGTTTTTACTCGGTTTCTTATTATTATTAAGGTCTTCCGTCTTCAGCGGAAGACCTTACTGTTATTCTTAGGTTTCTTTTCCACTATTTTTAAGGTCTTCCGTCTTCAGCGGAAGACCTTCTTGTTATTCTTAGGTTTCTTTTCCACTATTTAAGGTCTTCCGTCTTCAGCGGAAGACCTTATTGTTTTTCTTAGGTTTCTTTTCCACTATTTTTATTATTATTGTTTTTTTTCTTACCGATTTTGTACGCGCGATTTCTCGAGAACGGCTCGATCGATTTTCATGAAACTTTCAGGTCTGATAGAACATCAAAAAATCTATATATATATTTTTTTATTTTGATGACGTCACTTCCGGTTCGGAGTTTTCTGCAATTTAGTGATTTCTAGAGGGTCATTTTGTCCGGCAGTTTTCTCAAAAAGTACTTAACACAGAAGCTTGAAATTTTCAGTGATGCTAGAGCAACTTTTGGAGATGTGCAATAAGTATATCACAACTACCGGAAGTACGAAGCGCCGACGCTCGCTATGGCCCGAAAATTGTCCTATCAAGAATTTCAAAATTTTAAGCACTTTTTCAACGATAACTTTTTACCTAGAAATATTTTGTTAAAGCATGTAGAACAAAAAAGGTGTAAAATTTTAAGATCTTTCAAATGACATCTCGAAAAAAGGGCTGGCCCCTTTAATCAAGGGCCTGGAGGGGCCGAAAGTTTTTCCTTTATATCTCAAAAAGTATTGAGAATTTGTGATACGTCAAAGAAGCAAAGTTGTTCAAAATGTCAAGCTTAATCTATTGAAGTTGTCAAAATACGTCCGGCGTCGTCACTTCCGGTCAAACCGGAAATAGTCGGAAAATGCGTATTTTTGCCGTTCTTGACAAGTTTTCTGGTAACATGTGTCTCTGGGAGCATTATAATTAATTTTCCATCTGTCGTCGTCACTTCCGGTCAAACCGGAAGTAACAGAAAATGGCTTATTTTTGCAATAATTAACATGGATTTAGAGGAATCAAACCTTTTTTGGACGTTATTTCTCATTTCTGTTAAAATGAAAGCCACTTCGGGTCAAACATGACGGAAGACCTACTCGTTGCTTTGCAACGAGCTTTGCTCTAGTTTTATTATTATTATTGCTTTTTTTTCTTACCGATTTTGTGCACGCGATTTCTCGGAAACGGCTCGCTCGATTTTCATGAAACTTTCAGGACTGATAGAACATTGAAGAAACCTGATATATAATTTTTTGTTTTGATGACATCACTTCCGGTTTTGAGATTTCCGCGATTTAGTGATTTTCAGAGGGTCACTTTGTCCGCGAGTTTTCTCAAAAACGGCTTAGGGTAGAAACTTGAGTTTTTCAGCAATGATAGAGCAATATATGTAGATGTGACATACGTATTTCATTTTCACCGGAAGTGCTGCACGCCGACGCTCGCTATGGTCCGAAAAAGGGCATGTCGAGAATTTTAAAATTTCTAACACTTTTTCTTCGATATCTTTTCACATGAAAATATTTCGTTAAGACATATAGAACAAAAGAAGTGTAGAATTACTTGATCTTTCAAACGATATCTCGTAAAAAGGGCTGGCCCCTATAATAAAGGGCCGAGAGGGGCCAAACGTTTTTCCTTTATATCTCAAAAAGTATTGAGAATTTGTAATACATCAAAGAAGCAAAGTTGTTCAAAATGCTAAGCTGAATCTATCTGGGTCATCAAAATACATCCGACGATGTCACTTCGGGTCAAACCGGAAGTAGTACGAAAATGCATATTTTTGCCGTTCTTGACATATTTTGCGGTAACACGTGTCACTGGAAGCATAAAAACTTAATTTTCCGTCCGTCGACATCACTTCCGGTCAAACCGGAAGTAGCCAAAAATAGCTTATTTTTTAAGGTTTTGACGCAAAATTGAAATTATAAAGTCAATGGAGACAACTTAGCTCATTGCTTTCTTTTGTTGACATCACTTCCGGTCAAAACAGGACGGAAGACCTACTCGTTGCTTTGCAACGAGCTTTGCTCTAGTTATTATTATTATTGTTTTTTTTCTTACCGATTTTGTGCGCGCGAGTTCTCGAGAACGGGTCGATCGATTTTCATAAAACTTTCAGGTCTGATAGAACATCAAAAAATCTAGATATATATTTTTTTATTTTGATGACGTCACTTCCGGTTCGGAGTTTTCTGCGATTTAGTGATTTTTAGAGGGTCACTTTGTCCGGCAGTTTTCTCAAAAAGTACTTAACACAGAAGCATGATATTTTCAGTGATGCTAGAGCAAACGTTGGAGAAGTGCCTTTTGTATATCACAACTACCGGAAGTACGACGCGCCGGCGCTCGCTATGGGCCGAAAATAGTCCTATCATGACTTTTAAAATTTTTAACGCCTTTTCTATGATAACTTTTTACCTAGAAATATCTTGTTAAAACATATAGAACAAAAGAAGTGTAGAATTACACAATCTTTCAATTGATATCTCAAAAAAAAGGGCTGACCCCTAAAATTAGGGATTTAGAGGGGCCAGCAGTATTTTCCTGATATCTCAAAAAGTATTGACAATTTGTTAAGCATCATAGAAGAAAAGTTGTTCAGAATAACAAATAGCAGATGCGGAGATCATTTAAAGTAGTTAAGATGGCGTCACTTCCGGTCAGACCGGAAGTATTTGTAAATGGCTCGTTTTTGCACACATAACCGTAAATGTCTAACAATCTCGATCTCGTCATCTTCAGAATTAGACGGAAGACTTATTTGTTGCTTTGCAACAAGCTCGTCTAGTTAGGGTCTTCCGTCTCCAACGGAAGACCCTTCTATTATTCTATTGTTTCTTCTTCACTTTTATTATTCTTCTTTTTCTTTACAATTATTGTGCAGAAGATTTCTCGGAGATGGCTTGATCGATTTTGTTCAAATTTTCAAAGATTATGTGTTTCTATATGAAGTTTGTGCCCCCGGCTCAATTTTGAAAAAAATCACTTCCGGTCGGAAGTTATCGCCCTTTTGCTGATTTTTAGAGGGTCTCCTTGTCCATGAGTAAACTCAAAAACGACATTAGCTAGAGAGCTGAAATTTTTAGCGATGGTAGCCGACACATTGCTGAATTGCGCATTGGATTCAAAATTTTTCAGAAAGGTCCAAAATGGAAGCTCGGTAGGGGTCAAAATCTAGGACACGAATCATGGGTGAATTTTCGAGACATTTTGTGTCATATCTTTTAAAGTATAATTATTTTGTTAAGACATACTGAACAACATTTGTGGGGAATGACAAGATCTTTAATATGACACCAAGAAAAAAGTGCTGACTCATCACATTAAGGACAAAAAGGGGCCAAAATTATTCATTCAATAACTGTCTAGCAATCAGTTTTTTGTTATATATTACTGAACCAAAAATGTTTATCTCAACAATCTACAACTATATATTATGATTTTAATGTCGTATATTACATGATTAGGGGCCAAAAGGGGCCAGAATGCTAAATCTTTGACGCTTTATATCTCGAAAGTGAGAAATATTTTGACAAGTAATATTGAACAAAAGATGTTCAAAATCAAGTTCTGAACAATATGCAACCTTACTTTTTTCGCTAAACGTCCCCATTAGGGAGTTGAAGGGTTGGCCCCTTAATATTTCTTTTGCGAATAACTCGAGAACGAAAAAGAATCTCTGAATAGTTGTTGAACAAAAAGTGTTCAAAATCTTAAGAGCTTCAAGATGAAATCAAGAAAAAGGGGCTGGGCACTCAAATTAGGGGCCAATAGGGCCTAAAAGTCTTTTTTCGATAACTCTTTAACAGTCAATATTTTGTTATACATTACTGAAGCAAAAATGTTTATCTCAACAATCTACCACTGTATATTATGATTTTAATGTCGTATATTACATAATTAGGGGCCGAAAGGGGCCAAAATGCTAAATCTTCGACGCTTTATATCTCGAAAATGATAAATATTTTGATAAGTAATGTTGAACAAAAGATGTTCAAAATCATGTTCTGAACAATATGCAACCTTTATTTTTCGCTAAATGTCCCCATTAGGGAGTTGAAGGGTTGGTTCCTCAATATTTCTTTTGCGAATAACTCGAGAACGAAAAAGAATCTCTGAATAGTTGTTGAACAAAAAGTGTTCAAAATCTTAAGAGCCTCAAGATGAAATCAAGAAAAAGGGGCTGGGCACTCAAATTAGGGGCCAATAGGGCCTAAAAGTCTTTTTTCGATAACTCTTTAACACTCAATATTTTGTTATACATTACTGAAGCAAAAATGTTTATCTCAACAATCTTCCACTGTATATTATGATTTTAATGTCATATATTACATAATAAGGTGACAAAAGGGACCAGAATGCTAAATCTTCGACGCTTTATATCTCGAAAATGATAAATATTTTGATGAGTAATATTGAACAAAATGCAGCCTTTATTTTTCGCTCAACGTCCCCATTAAGGAGTTGAAGGGCTGGCCCCTAAATATTTCTTATGCGAATAACTCAAAAACGAAAAAGAATCTCTGAATAGTTGTTGAACAAAAAGTCATCAAAATCATGAGAGCTTTCAGATGATATGAAGAAAAAAGGGCTGATCCTTAATGTTTGGGGCCGTGAGGGGCCAAAAGTCGATTTGTTAAAAGTCTTTAATGTTAAAGGTCTTTTTACAGATTATGGAAAATCATTATTTTAGAATGAAAATCTCAATCAAAATCTTATCTCATCTCATCAAGAATCGGACGGAAGACCCACTCGTTGCTCGCAACGAGATCGTATCTAGTTATTATTCTTTTTTTTCTTCTTTGTTCTCCGGTACTTTTTTGTCCGCGAGTGTTCTCAGAAACTGTTCATCCAACTGAGCTAAAACCTTTTTAGGGTTAATAGGTGTGTAGTGTAGGTGTGCGGAACGAAGGTCATTTTGCGCGCATACGCATGCACGTGCGGGCGCGTGAAATGAGTGAAATTACTGATATACTTTATATAGCCATAACTTTTACATTTTTTGATGAAATACTTTAAAACTCATTACATAAGGATATATTAATAGTGTAGATAATATGACATTGTCAAATTAGCACGAACTCACGTGCACGCACGTGTGCTGCGCTCTGATTGGCTGAAACAAAAATCTCAATATCTCTTTTGTTTTTTGACGAAATCCTTTTAAATTTTAAAAATTGTCATGAATTAGAATATCCTACAATATAATATGAAAAAAATTCATAAAATCACGCGCATGCACGTGCGCTGCAATCTGATTGGCTGAAACTTTAAATGGCTATATCTCCTTTGTTTTTTGACGAAATGCTTTGAAATTTAAAACATAGTCATGAATTAGGATGTCCTGCAATATGATATACAAAAAATTTCAAGAAATCACGTGCATGCACATGTTCTGCAATCTGGTTGGCTGAAACTTTAAAATTGCTATATCTCCTTTGTTTTTTGACGAAATGCTTTGAAATTTAAAACATAGTCATGCATTAGGATATCCTACAATATGATTTAGAAAAAAAATTCATGAAATCACGCGGATGCACGTTTGCTGCAATCTGATTGGCTGAAACTTGAAATAGCTATAATTCCCTTGGTTTTCAACCAAACAGGATGGGATTTAGAACATAGATAGATATAAGGGCTTCCTACAAAAAGGTATCGTCATCATGCACGTGCACGCACGTGCGTGCATATGGAATGAGTGAAATTAAAAATACACTTGAATGAGTGATTTTTAATACTTTTGGACTAAATGCTTTAATACAAAGTATATTTAAATATATAAAAAGTGTAGACAAGATTATATGATCATTACGCACGCGCATTAACATGGGCACGCGTGCAATGTTAAAATTTGAATAGGTATCATTTTGGGAAAACTTTTAAAGTCAAAAATGCACAGATGTTGTCTACTTAATAAGGCTTACAGGGAACATGGCACCAAAAGGGAGTTGGGGAGCGTTTGGGGAACATCTGTAACGGTTCCTGTTACAATTAGCACTAGTTTACAGATAGTATTCTATTGGTGGGAAAATCATATAACATAAAAAATAGTTCTTGAAACGCAAGATCTTTTATTACTATACTTTTTTCTGAGGCTTTTATGTTTGTCTAAATTTTCTCAACCAGGGAGAAACATTTATGCAGCTATACCCAACATACACTTATTGTCACCTTCCAATTCAATATTTTATTTATACATGTAGTACATGACAAAAAGTAACAAAAGATCTTTTAATAAGGTGACTTACGTTTTGTGGTGGTAGTCGTGGGCCTCTGGTGACGGTAACAGTGGGAAGTGGTAACCACAGTGAGCCACAGTGGTAGACAGAAGAGCTATAGAAAACCACAGCCAGGCAGAACAGAGGTGAGATCCCATCAGAAAGGGGCCCAAGACAGGGGGCAGAAGATTACTGACTAGGTGCTCTATGGGGTGAGCATACAGGGAAATTATGCCTATAGGAGCAGTCCATTCATGATGTCGTTTGTGGATGTAGGAGTACAGATTTCGGTGGTGAAGGAGTCTGAAAACAATCATTATTAATAATTGTAAGTGATTGAACATTTTTTAATTACAAATATTCATTATTTAGCTTCACCTCTTCATTACAATTTCAATATCTGTTGATGTCAAAAAACAAGCTAGAAGGTCATAACATTGAATTCCTAATTCTTAAAAACATATTCACTAACCTGTGAGAATAGTAGAAAAAGAGCTCTTCCACAAGGGAGAACACTGTTAATTCCAGCAGGAACCAGTGAAAGGTGGGTAGTTCCCCTTGGAAGTGACAGCCCCTCCACTTCATTAAGTAGTACATCCCAAACATGAAGGGTATGGTGATCACAGTTTGATTAAACAACACTACTTGTATCGCTCTGATCAACATCGGTTTCTGTTTCTGGTATTAAATTTTGTAAAACAAAATGCATTATTTCTACAATGTTATGACAAAAAAAGTTTGAAAATTATCTTTAACTTCTTACATTTGAAAAGCAGTTTCTTGATAGTATTTTTTACAAGAGGTGTTTGTGAAACACTGATGTCCCCATGTAGCAACTCATGACAAAGGAAAAAGTATATAAAATGTCATGGCCAGTCACAAGGTCAAAAAAGTAAGTACTTGAAGTAATGTTTATAATAAGGAATACAAATGTAAAATATTTAAGCTCAAACACCACCATTCAAGAGTTAAGGCAACGATTTTGTTTTTTTTCCAAAAGTACATACCCCTGATAATACTATAAGGTCAAAGTCAAGAGGTCAAAATGTTGGTTTCAAAAGAAAGGCCTGGTCAAAAAGAATATGAATGTGAAATATAAATTAAAAACTTAAACAACACAACTCAGGCATTATGGCCAAGATTACATATTTTGTTTGGTGGACAGACTGATAGACAGGCAAATCAAAAGCTATAATATATGCCTTCAAATCTTCCATTACTAGACATGAACTAGCTTTTTCTTACACATTAATACCTACCTCTGGTAGAGGCTCTTCCTGTATCTTATATTTCATCAAACTTTTTGGCCACTTGGTTACCTCCATTATAAGGAGAAAGAAGTTGGCAAACCAGAACACACTCATGGTTACAATGTAGGTCCCTGCACATGTGACAAAAATAATTTTACAAGTCTGATTTACAGTAAAGATTCATCAAGTAATAACAATAGATGAATTTTAATTTAAAAACAGAACCTACCAGCAACACCAATGAATAGATCATTTTCTCCAAAACTGAGATAAATTCCGTCCCATATTTTTTGCCACAGATTGCCTGATGCACCCCATATTCTCTGTAAATGCCTGAA